AGGAGCTGGAACAGCGGGTTATCCTGTCTGATCTGCAGATTCGGGTACACTTGGGCTGGCACTGGGTAGGGGGTTGTTGACGAGAGGGTGTTAATCTCCTGTACCCTGTTAGGGAAAACTTGGGGTTCCCACTTCACAAGTGACCTCCCATGACCCTAAATGGGTCACATCATTTTCTATGCTTAATGTTCTTTCTTTATAATGAGTTTTATTCCTCTCTCCCACCTGCAGGGCTGGACACGTCCCAGCCCAGACTCTACTCGTGAAGACTTGGCCTACTGTGAGCATCTACCTGACTCCCAGGAGGATATCACCTGGCGGGGTCGAGGCAAGGAAGGACTGGCACCCCAGCGTAAAACTACCAACCCCCTGGACCTGGCAGTGACGCGACTTGCTGCCCTGGAGCAGAATGTGGAGCGGCGGTACCTGCGGGAGCCCCTATGGCCAGCTCATGAGGTTGTGCTGGAGAAGGCCCTGCTCGGCACGCCCAGTAGTGCCCCACAGTGTGCCACTGCAGAGATGTGAGTGGCTCCCCCCTTCTTGGTCTTGCGGAGAAGGGATAAATTTAATGGACCCTGCTCCTCATCCCCAGATCACCGCTTTCTCCCTCCAGATCATACGAGATCACCCCTCGCATTCGAGCCTGGCGCCAAACGCTAGAGCGGTGCTGGAGCGCGGCCCAGGTCTGCTTGTGCCTGGGCCAGCTGGAGAGGTCCATCGCCTGGGAGAAGTCTGTCAACAAAGTGGTAAGAGGCCTGGAGAGCCTGGGGGAGCTGACAAGATGGCCAGCTGGCGTGGGTGGGGTCAGTGGCAGGCAGAGGCTTGAGGGCTCACTCTGCCTCCTCACAACCTTGGTCCAGACCTGTCTAGTCTGCCGGAAGGGTGACAACGATGAGTTTCTTCTACTTTGTGATGGGTGTGACCGTGGCTGCCATATTTACTGCCTTCGGCCCAAGATGGAGGCTGTCCCAGAAGGAGACTGGTTCTGTGCTGTCTGTTTGGCCCAGGTAAGGCTTCTGCTCCCTCTCATTCCACTCCCAAGCAAAAGTCAGAGATTTTCTTTCTCATCCCATTTACCACCAGTCCTACAAATATCATTCTTACCATGCCTCAGTCTCTCCTGGGAAAGGGCTCCAGACTAAGTGCTAGGAGACCTGAGTTCTGATCCTTCTTTGGACAAGTCACTTAAATTCTATAACCTTACTTGTTTTTACTTTCCTTATAAAATGGGAATGATTATACTTTCCCTTTCACCTACCTTATTGGGTTATGTGAATAAATTCACATGCTGGCTTATGCATGAAAGTATTTTGAAGCCTCAGTCACACTTAGACAAGTGGGGATGGTAATGAAGTGAAGGGCAAGCAGAGTACATCTCCAGCTGTTGCTGATCTTACCTTTTTCTTATCTTCAGCAGGTAGAGGGAGAATTGACTCAGAGGCCAGGTTTCCCAAAACGAGGCCAGAAGCGGAAAAGTAGTTATGTGCTGAACTTCCCAGAGGGTGATAGCTGCCGGCGCCGGCTGCTGTCGAGGGGCCGAGAAAGCCCGGCAGTGCCTCGGTGCTCAGAAGGAGGACAGTCCCCCTCCAAGCGGCGGCGGCTCTCCATGCGGAACCACCACAGTGATCTCACGTTTTGCGAGTGAGTTGCGTGAATTCTGGGGACAAACTGGCTCTATCTTTGCCAGGGTAAAGGGCTGGGAGGGGTCAGTGTGTTTGCTTCCTGAGAGTACAGTCATCACTGTCTTTCTTAATAGGATTATCTTGATGGAGATGGAGTCCCATGATGCAGCCTGGCCTTTCCTGGAGCCTGTGAACCCACGATTGGTGAGTGGGTACCGGCGCATCATCAAAAACCCTATGGATTTTTCCACCATGCGGGAGCGGCTGCTCCGGGGAGGGTAAGTAGACTTCAGTAACTGTCCCGGCTCTTCTGTTACGGCCGTAACTTGTACCCGGCTCACAGGTCTGTCTCCACCCCTGCCCAGGTACACCAGCTCAGAGGAGTTTGCGGCTGATGCACTTCTGGTCTTTGACAACTGCCAGACATTCAATGAGGATGACTCTGAAGTGGGCAAGGCTGGGCACATCATGCGTCGCTTCTTCGAGAGCCGCTGGGAGGAGTTTTATCAGGGAAAACAGGCCAATCTGTGAGGCAAGGGAGGTGGGGAGTCACCTTGTGGCATTGCTCTCTGCCCTCCAAACAGACAGACCCTGCCATTCTCACCTGCTGATGCTGCCCTGGGTCCAGACTTGAGTCAGAGGTAGAACCCTGATTTTTGACCCTACCTTTGGCAGCGCCCTACATCTTCTTATCCCTACACCCCTTTCTTCCTTTCCTCCTCTTGTTCCTCACATAAGAGGGGCAGAGATGAGGTCCTTCTGGACTGAAAGCCAAAAAAAAAAAAAAAAAGAAAAAATAATTTTTCCTTTCTGTTTTATTTCCTAATTAAAAAAGAGGAGGAGGATGAAAGAAGCCCCTACTTCCTCCTCCCAGCTTTCTCACCTTCCCTGTTCGTGCCCCAGCATTCTGGGGCTATTTAACAATAGCAATAGTTCTAGTGAATGTGTGAAACCAAGAAACACTCTGTACTGTGTGTGGACCCGCAGTGACGGCCAGTAAAGTGGACTTAACTCCCAAGTGTGTCGAGCCGGACACCGGGCCCTGAACATGCTGCTTCCATGTTCAGTCCCTCCCCTGCTTTTCACTTTCTCTCTCTCAATCCCTCCCCCCCGCCCCCTTTTCAGATTTTCTCTCATCCAATAATGTAAAACTGTTGTGTACGGGTTCCTCCATCCTTTTCCCCCAAATCTTTTTTCCCTTCAAAGGAAAAAGAAGTTCAGAGGTCCCTGTCTTTCTCTCTGTCCTCATCTTCCTGCCAATAGCTAGTCCCTCTATAATGTTGGATACTCCTCAAATGCTGAGTTTCTAGCCTTTTCTGAAACTTAGCAAACTGGGGAGACGGCAGGGAGGCACCCTGAACCCTGGGCCTTCCAGCCTCCTTCCCCACCTCTTACCCAAACCTCCTTCTTGGGAACTCCTCAGGGACAACTACTGCTGAGTTTGGGCACACCCCCAAGATGGAGGCCAGGTAGCAATCGACTGGCCTGAGAGAGAGAGAGGTGTGTGTGTGTGTGAGAGAGTGAGTGAGTGAGAGGATGCTGTGATTGTGCCCCTGTTTTGTTTGGTGGCATCCATTCAGTTTTTCCCCCAAGTATCTGTTTCCCATTGTTTCCAACCATTGAAACACCTTTCCCATTGTTTCACACCATCACTGTGTCTTTGGGAAACCACAGGAACAGTTTTTCTGGGTACAAGGCTGTGTCTCTCCCCTCTCTCCCAGTCATTTCTGTTCCAGCCTCTTCAAACTGTGCAATCTTTCAGCAGGAACTCCCTCTCCTTTCAGTAGCTCTGAGTCTTAAGCTTTTGCAGGGAGAGGAGTAGAACTGGATCTCTTCCTAATCCCATGAGCTTCTGTGGGTTTAGTAGTGCTTTCCTTCCCTTATCTACTTCATATCCTGGGACCCCTTCCCCAGTAGCAGAGACCCCAGAACACAGGAGAGTAGGGAGGAGAGGTTCTGGGTCCACCGCTGCCCTGCATGTGACTGTGCCCAAGTTAAGCCCCAACCTGTGAGAGGAAAGCTGCTAACTCCCAGCTATAGCCATGGGCCCCTGGCCCCTGCTTTCCTGCTCAGCAGAGCCCCTCCCATCAGAGATTACGGGTACTTGCACTGGGGAGGTGGCTGCTGGCTGGCCCAAGCAGAGCGCTGAGGCATCCAAGTAGTGTTCCATTGGTGGGAGGGGGTGCCAGGTGAGGGGAGCATTCCTTGTGCTTCTGGCAGCACTGAATAGCCACTGAAGGGGGTGAGGGGGCAGTACAGGTCCCGGGGCAGCCCCTTTCTTATTCCTTTATGCCCCTTCTCCCCCATAGCCTATTTCTAAAGTCGCCTTTTCTGTCAGATAAACCTCAGAACTTTTAATTTTATTTGAGATTTTTTTTTTGCTTTTAAATAAGAGGTGGATTGAAGAATATTTGAATTGACTTTATATTATGCATAAATATTTATATTTTATCTAAATAACTGCGCTGTAACAAACTTTGTGTTAGCCGGACATTTGGAACTGTTGTAGTTGGGGGCTCTTCTTTTCCCCACGGCAGTCTTACCCTGCTATAAAATGTTCCAGGTTAATTCTACTGTTGGAGGTTAGGTGGACGGGGGAGTGAAATCTTGATTGTTCCTGTTCTGTGTTCCTCTCCCAGCTCCATCTCTTTCCCTAGGGACCAGGCACTCTTAAGGTGGGGTGGGTGGAGTCCTAGCCTCAATTTGAAGTGAGGGTTGATGGGGGGCGGGGGGAGGGCATGACCAAAGGGGCCGTTTCTCACTTTCCTTTCCTCATCTTCACTGCCCCTTGAGCTAGGTGGATTTTCTCTTTTTGACAAATAAGAGTATTTGGTAGGGAAGGCAAGTTAAAAAAGTAAATAAAACCCACCCCTACCCCTTTGTTTCCTCTCCCCTATCAGTCTGGTAACAGGAAGAAACCACACCATCAACACCAACAAATTTCCACGTTCCTTTTACAACAAAAGGGACTTGACTTTTTATATAACCAAATGTGGTGTTTTAGTGACTTTTTGATAATGTACAGTTTTTTGTGAATTTAAATTTATTTCTTTCTATATTTTTAGGACCAATCTCATTTTTAATAAGGTAAAAAAAGGAAAAAAAAGTCTAGAGAAAAAAACTCCTGTTTTTGCCATGTGATGTTCCACAAGTGCAGCTGTAGAAAAGTGCTTGTCAGTTGAATAAAAACCACATTTGATAGAGATTCAAAAGAGTCTGTATTTATCTTCCTTCAACATAGGTTTTCATACTTGCCTAAAGGTGAAGGCTGGGTGTTAGGGTGAGTACGACTGGTTTGATTGTAGGAGACCACAGGCCGGGGAGAAATACGCCTCTAAACTTCAAAGTTTATCTCTGAACCTCCAAGCTTGGCCCTTCCTGTGCAAGAGGCATCCAAGGCAGAATTTGTGCTTATGTGGGTGGAACAGGTGCTCCTGGCTGAGGTGCTAAAACAAAGGATTCAAGTGTCCCTAGTTCCTGCCTTGTGAGACATGGCCTTGGCTTCCTAAGCTGCCACCTGTGTTCCCATTATATAGCAAATATATGTGCTCAAGACCACCTTCCCAGCTTCCAATCATGGATAAGACACCACGAGGTAGACTTTTGTGTTTTATTTCAAAAGTTGAAATAAGACAAAGTTCTACCCAATTGTAGGGAAGGAACAAGTGAATACCAAGAGTCAGAAGAATGGGTAGCATTGGCACAGACGTGGCAAGAGTATAAAACTGGACACCTCTGGATAAAGAAAAAATGTGTTTTGAGTATAAATTAAACTTATTTCCCGTCCAAGGTGATAAGTGCATGCTAGAGAGCACTTGCCACCCGAAAAAAAATGTGTGTGTTGGGGGATGTGGACACCAGTAATGGGGCAAGAACTTTTCTTTACTCAGGCTAGGAAAGCTTATCACACCCCAGGCTGGAAGTTTTGTTTTGGTGACCCTCTAAACTAACTGGAATAGGTGGAGAAGGAGCATCTCTGCTTTCAGCCCTATAAAAATCCCAGATGCCCTCCCTGGTGCATGTTTACCTTCTCAGCTCATGGCAGCCACTGGCAAACTCTTATCCTCTCAAGTTCTGAGCTCTGCTCCCATGTTGGTGTTCCTGGGGGTGGCTCCCAAGCATTAATGAATATTCTAAGCACTCATTACTCAGCCTATCCTCCTGGCATACCACAGCAAGACCTAACGGAAGAGTTCACACTATTCTAGGGTGATAAAGGAGGTAAAAATCTCAAAGAAGACATTCCAGAAACAAATAACCAAGAGATTTTGCAATTGATCGTGAGACCTTTGTAGCCCCCATCTTCCTAACCCCCATGAAGGCAAGGACAGAGTAAAGGAAGGAAAGAAGTGAACCAGGTGCCCGTGTTGAATTGTGAAACTGTGAGGTAGGTCTTTAACAAAGACAAGAAAGTTCTGGGATACACCTGGAGAATGAAGATTCATTCAAAACAGACGTGGACATGCCAGGGAGAAGGAGCAGTGGTAACTGGGGTGAGAGGGCACCTAGCTTTCTCATTACTACAGTCATGTGGGGACCACCCCTAGGGAGGTGCAGCAGAATTCAGCAAAGACGAGAAGGGTGATAGAGCTCTCAGGCCCATCTCAGCTGTTGGAGGAAGACCCTCCTACGAAAGGAAGGAGTAAAAGCTGAGTAAATGAGGGATCTGCTAATGCTTGGAAAGACCTAAAATGCAGGTAGCATAGAAATGGAGTAGTTGGTTTAAGAGGGAATCAGGAAGGACCAGTGTGACAAGGCCCAAGGTTTAAGACCTAGCCCTTACAGACTAGCTTTCATAATACCCACCCTCTTCTCCGAATGAAGCTGGTCTAGCAGAGCCTGAGGACAAGTTTAGATCTGATCACTGACCCAAGTTTATTGCCCTAAGAGAGCGTGCATAAGAGAACAGCAACGATTTTTTTTTTTTTTTTTTTTCCCTAGAAGATGATTCTGTGGGGATCCCTGCAACATTCCATTCCAGCAAGGCCTCTCACCTCACCTTTGTGGAGCAAAGTAACAACCCACATGTAGGTCCCCAAACAGTAGACACTGAAGCAGCAGGGAATAAGCAATGCAGGCAGGCACGAAGGGGCTGAATGAGCTCACTGATCAGTAAGTTAGGAAAGAAGAATGGAACTGGGCTGAGGCGGCCCAATCCAGGGATGGTCAGTAGAGCAGCACAGTCCTCACACTGAGTGCAAGTAATGTCCCCCTACTACCCCCATCTGTTACTGACAAGGGCTATTTATTACCTCTTCAGAGTCACCAGGCTTCCTAGTCTAGGCAACTCTTCAAATCCTTTGGTTAAAAACACACTTTAAAAATAACATCTCTCCCCATCATCATTCCCACATCTTCCCTAACCTCGACCACACCCTCCTCCAAAAACTCTAATCAGCCTCGGGGCTGAGTATCATCTCAGAGTGAGAGAGGAGCAGTAATAACACCGCATGAGATGGGATGGGCAGGCTCTGAGGCTAGTAAAGGATTGTATCATCTGAGAAAGGGATCTAGTATGTTCTATTTGACTGAAAAGAGAAAAATACAAAGTACTAAAATATTTTAAGAATGTTATGAGCATCTGTAATGAGTGGGGGGTGAGATATGAAGTACAGAGAGAGTTATGACCTGGCTCCATGAATACAGGATTCAGAAAACACTAGCATAGTGTTTAAAGAGCCCAGCCCTAGGCTGTGAGCTTGAAGGCTCCCCCTACAATTCCTCTGCCACCACTGCCACCAATGGGGCTATTTCATGGGAGAAAAAGTATCCCTCATTCCTTGTCTCCTTTTTCCAATCACTCACCCACGTTACGAACTGTTAGAAATGAACTAACAATTAGGCAAAAAGTATAATGAGTGTAACCCAAAAAGGCCCAAACAAAGTTCCACGATGCCATTAACCATTACAAAAATAACTTCCGGCTCTCCGTCACTTCCCATGCCCAAACCTGCCCAAACCAGAAACACCCATTAATAAAATCCATTAAGCAGATTCACATGAGAACACACAAAAGGTAACTTCAGAATTTTAAAACAAAACAAAGCAAAATTACAGCCATTTAAACATTTAAATACAGAGAAAGTAGACAGAACCAGGAATTCTGGGAGGCAGAGGAGGGCAGCAGTGACATCAACAGTTTCTACACATGAAAGGCCCTCATTTCACTAAGCCTCCTAGCAAAGCAAGGCTCCCCAAACTACTATTAATTAAATGAACAGGATTCTAGATTTTTCTCCTTTTCTTCAAGGCCACTGACAAGAAACATATGGTGTATTTTCCTTGACTAAGGAGTAGAGACTCAGAAACAAGAGATACCTGCCCAGGCAAAACCTTCTATAAAGTTACTCGGTTTGGGGCTGTTTTACATCAGATAAACCCTTCCTGAGGTTGGAAGTACCCGTGAGAAAATGAATAGTGGCAATTTTATCCTTTATACTTTACATCCTACCTATTGTCCCCTACCCCTACTCCCTTAACCCCAGGATGTACAAAAGGACACTCTATGGGTAGGGAGCATTAGGACTCTCAACTCTGGGATGGGTGGAGGGGAGGGAAAGCTAGGCCCAAGCTCTAGGTACAACAACTGATAATACAGCTTCTTCCCGCCCAGTAGCATCTCCTTCCTCTCCCTACAGCCAGCCTACTGAACACCTGTTTCTCCATTCTCCATCATTTGGCTTTCTGTCTGATTGGTGGAAAGGCACCTGACCTTGAAGTGAAGGGGAGCAGAACTCTCCTTTCAGTGCATAAGGGAGTGACTGGGAAGAGACAGGTGCAGGATCTTATTTCCTAGAAGATGGACAAAGGCTTCCTCCTATCTGTCTCCGTGTGCACAGTCAGGTCTTGCAGAAGGTGATGGAGTTGAAGAGCAAATTATAGCCTTTTTTTGAAGGACTCCTGACCTTCTAAATAGTGAGATGGGGTTTATGGCCCTTTTCTATCCCAGCTCCCTGCTGTCCTTCCACAAGCAGGAAGATTATTTCTGATGTCCTGATTCCCTGGAAAAGGGGCCCAAACACACTAGGGCAGGTTGCTCTGGACAGTTACAAAGAGCTTTGTCCTTTCTCGCCTCTTCACGGCACACACACACAGAACAGTCCCCACCTCTATCCCTCTGGATGTGTGTGTGCACATGGCACAAGCCTTTCAAGGACAGCTCTTGCTGTACACAGATGTGCCAAAGGTCAAAGCCTGGGAAAAATTCAAGAACCTCAGTTCTGTCCCTCTCAACTAGCTGCCTGAGTGTCAAAAGGCGCCATGTGTCCAGGGTGGGGATGGGAATTTACCAAGTCCTCTGGTACAGGAGGCAGGGATGACACTGTCTACATCAAGGTTTCCTAACCTTGGTACTACTGACATTTTGAGCCAGACAATTCTCTGCTGGGGGAGCTGGGGCTCTGCTGTGCCCTGCAGGGTGTTTAGCAGAATCCCTGGTCTCCAGCCACTAGCTGCCAGTAGCACACAGCCCCACCCCCAGGCACGACAACCAAAAGTGTCTCCAGAGATTGCCAAATGGCCTCTAGGCGACAAAACCGCCTCTTTGAGACTCGCTGGTCTGGAGGCAAAGCAGCTGATTGTCCGTGGTGGGGAAGGAGCCTAGATGGATTCAGCAAGGTCACAAATGCAAAGGCCCTGAGCACAGCAACCATGTGAGACAGGGAAGAGAGGGGCCCTGAGACCCAGGGCAGAAAAGATCCTCTAGGAAGCAGAAAAGCAGGTATTCCTGAAAAGCTGTAACAGGGGAAGACATTTTCTCAGAGGGTGTGGTGTTGGCCTCGGCAGTGAGAAGAGTTAGTCAGAAGTCAGTAGGTCCACTCCTCTGGAACTTGCCAGGGAAAACCTAGTCTTCATCTGAATTTGGATCAAGGATGGCTTCCTGAGGCTGTGGGATTGTCTCCTTAGTGAGCCTAGGTCACATCTCTGCTTCCGGAGGGCAAAGTCTAGTCTTTCCTCCTAGGACGTGGCAGGTCAGAGGGAGGAAAAGCCACTTCCACTGCCTGCTTAGTGTTCTACCTTGTTCCTTGCCCAGCCCCCCAAAATTCCATATGAAATTTCATTCAAAAAAGAAATTCACAAAACTAAAAACTTAAAGAGGCAAAGTAGGCAGGTTCTGCTGTATGGAAAAGAGAAAAAGAACACTCTGGATGAGAGAGAGAAGGCATAAAATGTATGTGAAGAAGAGATGGGATGTGTGATCTAAGAGCTTTATAAAACAAAACTTTAAAAGTCTGCATGTTTTCTTACACCCCTGCCAAAAGGTCCATAACTAAACTCAGTAAGTAGGGCCCACAGTAGGACTCCATCAGTGTTCTAGCACCACACCTTTTTCTTTTAAGAAAATAATTTGTTTTAAAAGCCTTCCCAAATAAGTCCAACACATCAAAAACTGTTTTTCATAAAGATGAGAACAAGCTCCAGGCACCGTGTCTCTTTGGGGTAGGGAAAGAGTATATTGCAGTTTAAAACAAAACAAAAAACTTTCTTCACAAAATAAAAGAAGTCTTTTTGGTCTCCTCGACTGTAGCACACACAAAAAGTGACAGTTCCTCCAGGCTCCACCAGGAGTGGAGCAAGAGCAGAGGGCAGGAGTGCAGAGACTTCTTTTTCCAGGCCCAGGCCTGTGAAAACCGATGACCAAGTGTTAGTCCTCAGCTGGGCCCACAGAGGGGCTGTATTCCTGGTCAGCCCTCTGGAGTCTGGAGCATCAGCATCTCCAAGAATTCATTTATATACTCAACAAAGATGGGGAGGGAAATCCTAAAGGAGGCATAAGCCAGAGAGGGTAGGGAGGGGGAATGACAAACATGAGAGTCTGATTTCAGGCTGCTCAGCCCACCCCGCCCCTCAGTATGTGATTCTTACCACTGTTACTTGTTGAACTGGAAAGAATAGACCCCATGGTCTGAGGGAGCATCCACCGTCACTTGATTTTGCTGGCTGCCGCTCTCCTGTACCACAGCCAAGGCAGGAGAGTCACCTTGTGCATCCTTTCCTCACCTCCCACTGAAGCAGCCTAGCTAAGTTGCATGTCCTCCCCAACCAACCCATTCCCACACGCCTGTGTGAGTGCACATACATACATACATACACACACACACACACACACACACGCACACTCAGAGCATCACTTCCCCAACGTTTAGAGCAACCCATCCTCTTCCCAGGACACACGAGTCGATACAAGCCAGCATCCTGGGATTAACTACCATCTGCCAAATGAGAGGAAGGGCCTCATTCAAAGATACAAACTAAGTCTTTCCTTCCTACATTCTTCACATCCCTACCAGCTATTTGTGAACACAGAATCAGCATCACTGTGAGAGGAAGATTTTGATCAGGGGAAAATCTGCCTCTGTTCATTTTCCAATCTTCAATCCAAAGAGATTATAAAGCTCTTACCTCAACTGAAACACTGGAAGAAGGCACAGGGGTGTACTGGGAGATGTACGCTCCTTGCATAGCTGCAGCTGTTGGCATATACTGTAATGAGATACATCAATAGGCTTAGAGCAGTGATTCTTGGCTACATTTAAAGCACCTGGGGAGCTGTAAAAACTACCAGTGCCTATTGTTCCGTCCCCAGAGATTCTAATTTAATTGTCCTAATTGTGCTTTTTAAAAGCACTTCAGGTGACTCTAAAGTACACTGGCTTAGAGAGGCTTCTACGCACATGACTACCTTTTCCTCCTCTTTCCTGTCTTCTGCTTTTTCTCAACGCCTTCTCTGCTTTAAGCCCTCCTGAACAAATCAGAATGCATCCGACCTACAAGAAAACTAATGAGCTTCACCCTTTCTTCCTGTTACTACTTTGATAAAGACTTCTAGGAAAGTGTATGAACTAGATAAACTAATATGTAGGTAGAAACACCATTTATTTAGTTGCATGAGTAGGAATCAGTTAAAATGAATGAGCTAAACAGCAGAATGGCTGTATTCCTAGCTCACGGATTATTATCTTTTTAGTTTATCGCCTTTTCTGAGTGTGCCCTCGATGACACTGAAGTGATTCCCATCCTTATTCAAGAGTATTTAAACCTAAGAGTATTACATAGGTATTCTTTGCTTGGTAGGAGTTTATAATAAAAAAATATCCTGCTTTACTGTGCCCGTGCTGCTGAGCGAGAGGTGGCCCAGTTGCTGGGTAAGAGGTCCCATCATGGAGGCAGGCTGGAGAGAAATAGGATGATCCATTCCTGGTGTCAGAACTGAACCCTAGAAGCAGCAACAAAGGACAGGGTTAGTTGACAGCATCCTATGAGGCTGCCTGAAGCGGTGATTCATGGCTACCAGAACCACTGAAGACAGACATTTAAAAATCCTGGGAAATGATAGGTGAGCAACGACCCAGCTATGTAGCAGGAACAGGCACTGCCCATCAATCTGGAGGGATCCTTGTCTAAGAATAGCAAACTCACAGAATTTAAGGTCAAACACCTGGGTTACACAAGAGACTGAGCCAGAACTCACACCCTTATCTCATTTCATCAAATCCCACTGTTTTTCTTTACATCAAATTGCCTCTTTGGCTTTTGCCCACTTCTGAACACTCACTGAAGGCTGCATGAGGTATGACTGGTGGTGCATCCAAGACAGGTTAGGTACTTGTAGAGGAGATGTCTGAGTTACTCTCTAATGCAAGCGAAAATAAACAAACAACAATGTTAATTGCCTAGAGACTATTATTTCGCCCAATGATCTGATAATGTTCAGCAAAACCCACATAAGGTTGGAGTGTGCTCCCCGCTCAGAAACTGTAAATATTAAGAATAAACTGTTTAAAAAATATTAACAACTCTTACACTTCAAGTAATCCAATTTTAAACTGGGCTACAAATTTGAGTAGATATTTCTCTAAGATGATACACAAATGGCCAACATGCACATGAAACAGGTTCAACAACATTAGTCACTAGGGAAATGCAAATCAAAGCCACAATGAGATACCACTTCAGGATGGCTATAATTAAAAAAGGACACAATAACAAATGTTATACACTGCAGGTGGGGATGTAAAATGGTACAGGGGCTTTGGAAAACTGTTTAGCAGTTCCTCAAAAAGTTAAACATAGAGTTACTATGTAACCCAGCAATTTCACTCCTAGGTATATACCCTGGAGAAATGAAAACATATGTCCACACAAAACTGTGCACAATAGTTCAGGGCAGCATTATTCATAATAGCCAAAAGGTGGAAACAACTCAAATGGCCATCAACTGATAACTGGATAACAAAATGTGGCATATCCATAAAATGGAATGTGATTCAGTCATAAAAAAGAATGAAGTACTGATACATGCTACACATGAATAAACTTTGAAAACATGCTAAGTGAAAGAAGCCAGACACAAAAGACATATACTGTATGCTTCCATTTATATGCAATGTTCAGAACAGGCAAATCTATAGACGTAGGAAGTATATTGGTCATTGCCACGGGCAGGGGTAAGGGCAAATGGGGAATAAATACTAATGGGTACACAGTTTCTTTCTGAGGTGATGAAAGTGTTCTGGAATTAGATAATGGGGACAGTTGCATAATTCTATAAATATACTAAAAAATACTGACTTGTACACTTTAAGAGGATGAATTTTATCGTCTGTAAATTATATCTGAATTTTAAGATTAAAAAAAGCAACGAGAAGCTAGAAATGCATCTTGATAGACAAGTAGGTTTATTCCACAAATATAAGGATTGTTCAAGATCAGAAGCTCTACAAACATAAGTCAAAATTGAAGAAAAAAAGCCATAGTGTAATATTAGATGCTGAAAAGACATTTTAGAAAATTCAGCAGCCATTTACTTTTTAAAAAATCACAAAGTAGGGAATTCCCTGGCAGTCCAGTGGTTATGACTCAGCGCTTTCACTGCCGCGGCCCGGGTTCAATCCCTGATCGGGGAGCTAAGATCACACAAGCCCCGAGATGCGACCAGAAAATAAATTTTAAAAAATACCACAGGGCTTCCCTGGTGGCACAGTGGTTGAGAGTCCGCCTGCCGATGCAGGGGACACGGGTTCGTGCCCCGGTCTGGGAAGGTCCCACATGCCGCGGAGCGGCTGGGCCCGTGAGCCATGGCCGCTGAGCCTGCGCGTCTGGAGCCTGCGCGTCTGGAGCCTGTGCTCCGCAACGGGAGAGGCCACGACAGTGAGAGGCCCGCGTACCGTTAAAAAAAAAACAACAAAAAAACCCACAAAGTAAAATAGAGACTAGAAAGAAACTACTTACATATATTAAAGGCTATTACCAAAAACTATCTGCAAACCTTAACCCAAACAGAGAAATATTAAAACCACTGCAATTATAGTAGCCCATTAGGTAGTGGGGTCAAATAAATACAACTGGATAAGAACACAGTTGGCATAAAATTGAAAAGGAGGAGAGAACTATTGTTTTGCATCAATGATATAACTGTATACCTAGAAAACCTAAGAGATTTAAGTAAAAAAAAAAAACTAGTAGTAATAAGAGGATTTGGTAAGTGAACAGTATACAAGATAGATGAACATAAATTAGTAACTTCTCAGTGTATCAGTAAGCATCTAAAAATGCTTATAAAAATTACAGAACACTTAGAAGTATATTTAACAAGAAAAACATAAGACCTACATAAATAAAACTAAGATCTTATTGAAGGACATAAAACTTTGAGAACATGAAAAGAAATACCATATTTTAGGTGAAAAGACTTAGTACTGTTTAAGAAGTCAATCCTCTTTAATATATAGATCTAATGTAATTCCAATTAAAATCCTCCCTCACAGATTTTTAAAAATTAGATAAAATGATCATAAACTTATACAGAAGAAGAAATGCCAAAACATAGCAAAGAAAAGTATGAAAGAGTGGAGAAGGTTTTGTCTTATCAAATATTAGAACATACTATGAAAGCCACTGTAATCAAATCAATACATTATTGAAATAGAAACAGACACAATGATCACTGGAAGAGAATAAAGGATACAGAAAAAGATTCCAGTGTTTACTATATGACAAAGGTGGCATTTCAATTCAGTGGGAAAAGGATGGATTATTTAATAATTTGGTGCTAGGATAACTGGTGAACATTTTGAAGGAAATACAATAGAACCCCTATCTTATGTCATATACAAAAATAAATTCCTGGTTATTATACATTTAAATGTAAAACAATGAAATACATCTTGGGGACCATATGTACAATATAGGGACTGGGAAGACCTTTTAAATTAAGACAAGAAATGCAAAAGCTGTAAGTAAAAAAGCAGACATATTTAACTATACACAAATTTTAAAGCTTTTGTACGGCAAAAACTAGTGATTCCCAAAGTATGGTCCCCGGATCAGCAGCAGAAGCAGGAGCAGCATCTGGGAACTTGTTAGAAATACAAATTCTTGCCTCTCACCCTAGACTTGCTGAATCAGAAATTCTTGCTGTGGTACCCAGTAACCTAGGTTTAATAAGTGATTCTGATGCACAGCTGAAGTTTGAGGACCATAAAGTCAACAGAAAACAATTAAATTTTGAAAAAAAAACTTGTAACAAAGATAACATTCAGAAGATTAGTACTTATAATATTGACAGTTTTTTTTTTTTTTTTGGCTGCCCCGTGTGGCTTGTGGGATCTTAGTTCCCCGACCAGGGATCAAACCCATGCCCCCTGCTTTGGGAGCACAGAATCTTAACCACTGGACCACCAGGGAAGTCCCAATAATACTGATAGTTTTTATAAGTTGATGGGAAAAGAACAAATAGTCAAACAGGAAAAAGGACCAAGTATATGAAGAGCAAATAAAAATATGACGAAAAAAATGCTTAAACTCAGCTGCAGTCAGGGAAGTGCAAATTAAAGTAACAATGTACTTTACATGTATCAGGATTGAAAAAAATTTTTAAAGAGCAATGTCACCTCTGGCTGGAGGGAAATGGGTACTCTCATATGTTGCCAGTGGAATGTGAATTGGCAGTCTCTGTGGAAAGCAATCTGGTAACATCTATAAAACTGAAAGTCCGTGTATTATTCAACCTAACAACCTCACCCCTCGGACTCTAGCCCCCAGAAACAAAAGCACTCATATGTGAGGATACAGGCAAAAGGATGTTTACTAGAGCATTATTTGCACCAGATAAAAACTGAAATCCAAAGAATGCCTTTCACTGGGGTATAGTGGGAGAATTCTGGTATATGTGCAGCATAAAATATGTTACTATTAAAAAGGAAATAATTAGAACAGAGCTGCATAAGAACTACCTGGAGGGCTTGTTAAAACTCAGATTGGTAGGACCCATCCCCAGAGTTCCTGTGAATCTAGGGTGGAGTCCAAGAACTTGTGTTTCTAAAAATCCCCAGGTAGTGCTGATATTGCTGGTCCAGGGACCACACTTTGAGAATCACTGGTTTAAATGAGAAGAGTAAAGTGTAAAAATATATATTTAATATGGAAAATTTTTGTAACATAAACAATGACTTCCAAAACCCTATACTTATGTGTATATGCAGATAAGAAAAAATATGGAAACTAGTAGGAAATTAACATGGGTTTGCTTGTGGGAGTGGTGGAGAGTAAAAGGATGCTTCTACAACAGTTCATATACATGTAGTGTGATCACATGTTATACTTTTATGTAAAACTATTTGTGTACAGTATGTATAAAGGAAAAAACAAAAGAACAACAAGTAGTTCCCAGTCTAAAACACAATGGTAGGGAAAACCACCACACCCTTTTCTGGGCATGAACGTACCTGATATGAAGACAACATACCTGATATGAAGACACAGGAGATGGAAGATACGGGGACAGTGCAGACTGAGCAAGCATCCTGTTGGGGGTGATGTTATAAGGAGCTGGGTAAAACCTGTAGGAAGGGACCTCATCAGTAAGGAGTCACAGGAAACTACAAGGCAAGGGCCCCCACTGATAGACACAGCCACTTCCCACTAACTACTCTTTTTTTTTTTAAATAAGCTTATTTAATTTTTGGCTGCGTTGGGTCTTTGTTGCTGTGTGCGGGCTCTAGCTGCTGCGAGCAGGGGCTACTCTTCGTTGCAGTGTGTGGGCTTCTCATTGTGGTGGCTTCTCTTTGTTGTGAAGCATGGGTCTGGTCATGTGGGCTTCAGTAGTTGTGGCACGCAGACTCAGCAGTTGTGGCTCATGGGCGGTAGAGGGCAGGCTCAGTAGTTGTGGTGCATGGGCTTAGTTGCTCCGCAGCATATGGGATCTTCCCGGACCAGGGATCAAACCTGTGTCCCCTGCATTGGCAGGCGGATTCTTAACCACTGTGCCACCAGGGAAGTCCCACCACTGACTACTCTTTAAATATCAAGATGAAACATCCGAGTGCCTGGACACAGGCCGCTGTCATTTTCAGGTGGCCTGTTTATAGAAAACACCCTTACCCATTCTGAAGAGCTGTGGTGGGGTCATAGGTCAAGGCCATACCACCCTATAAAGAAAGAACACAGCACGCACATTGTGAGCCCTTAGTGAGAACAGGAACAGGCCCAGAATTTCAAGGCTGAGGACGTATTTGGTTCAACTGATTAAAAATGAAGTCTGAACTAATCCCACTACAACTGTTCCAGGGTTTTTCTGGTTGTGCAGGATGCAAAATTCCATTCAAGATCCACACTGAAGAGCATGTTAAGCAGCCAGCATCTCTGTTACATACTGTAGCTCTCAAGTTTACCACAGAAATCAGGCCATGGAAATTTCCATTCCACTTTTCTTTTTTTTTTTTTTTTTTTTGGGCGCTTTTGCTCGGCATGCAGGATCTTATTTCCCTTACAGGGGATAGAACCTGTGCCCCCTGCAGTAGAAGCACGGAGTCCCAACCACCAGGGAAGCCCCATCCATTACATTTTAATGTCCTTAGTATTCCTGTCTCCTAGAGGGCCTCTTACCATGTCTCCATTCCTTGGCCAGGCCCGTCCATTCTGCACAAATTTTCCTTGGTTCTGTCGTTTCTTTGGACCCCCATCAGCAAATTTGCAAAGCAAGGGATCAGATGGGGCTGCCAAGAGAGAAAGCAGACAGGCAGCTGAGTCCCACCTCACTTAGTCCACTCACTCATGCAAAAATCCTCCAGAATCTTCACAGGAAGTCATAACCTGTGGCCCTCTCAGCCTGATTCCCAGATGCCTCACCTGGTACTCCAGGGGGTGTCTTAATATATTTTCCATTAAAGTGGGTGATGATGGCTTCACACTTCTCTGTGGACTCCATCCTAAGGAGCACAAGAGGAGTTAGGGTCTACCTTCTCCAGGATCTGTACTCTCCTTATATTCGAAGAGAAAGCTCTAAGTTCCCAGCCCCACAAATGCTCCAAAAGTTGTCGCTACAGAAATACAGAGTTTCCTCCACACAAAGTCAAGGTATCTTAAAGAGGCAACCCCAGCTTCTAATGAAGGTTTTCTCAACTGGCTCCTAAAAGGAATAATGGTGGTCTTCAAACCATGAATATTCCAAAGAAGACACTGATAGATGGGCCTAGTGTTGTGTCTGGGTCCCTAAATAAGAATACAATGCTGTTACCATTATTTTTTATTACAAAATTCCTAATGGAAATTGTTCCCTCACTTTTTTTTTTTTTTTTTTTTTTTGCCACGCTGTGCAGCTTGTGGAATCTTACTTCCCCAACCAGGGACTGAACCCAGACCACAGCAGTGAAAGTGCCGAGTCCTAACCACTGGACCACCAGGGGTTCCCCTCTTCCCTCACTTTGATAAAACTGTACAAGCTAAGAATTTGCCAATATTTATTTTTTGCTTCTGGTTATAATTATCAAGGTCTAAATAGCTACTGATAACATCATTAAGATTTCATGAGTCGGGGCAGGGAGGGATAAATTAGGAGTTTGGGGTAAGCAGATACAAACTAATATATATAATACAGATAAACAACAATGTCCTACTGTATAGCACAGGGAACTATATTAAATATCCTGTGATAATTCATAATGGAAAAGAATGTGAAAAAGAATATATATGTATATGTATACATATATTATCTATATATACATATAAACACATATGTATACATATATATGAAAAAGGATACATATATAAATCACTTTGCTGTATACCAGAAACTAACACAATATTGTAATTCAACTATACTTCAATTTTTTTTGAAAAATGGGAGAAAAAAAAGATTTCATGAGTCTGTGGGAGGAAAGAGTATTAAGACAGGGTTTATGGTCCAGAGTGATAGAAAAAACAATGTTAGGAACTACTGAGTTAAAGTGTCTTGTTGGGGAAAGAGGACTGAGTAAAAATCAGAAAATCTAGATTCCAGCACCCGTTCACCGCTCAAAGTCTCTGTGAGTTAGAAAATGCACAAAAACCCTTCTGACTCATTCCTCATTTCTGCTTCAAATCTCCATCTACCTTATTACACAGGGCTGTATAGATCAAATGAGATAATGCATATAAATGTGTTTTAAAATGATAAAGATCTATATAATACAGGGTACAGTATCTTCCCCTCTTTCCATATTTAAAGTAAGTCTCAGTATATTTTCTATGCCAATAACAACTAAAGATATGAACCATTCCTATGAAGGCAGTTACTAAAAAAGGCCTCAAATGGAAACTTTTAGAGAAAATAACCTTAGGTGTCCTAGAGCAAAAAGTGTTGAGTTGGGTTACTCCTACTCCTTAGTCTTTCAAAAGGGTGAGCAGGCATGGAGGGTTTTAAGAGAATCACTTTCAGGACCTCAGCTTCCTCATAAACTCTTTCCTAAAACTGATGTGCCTGAGGGAGAGCTTGTGATCACTAATGATCAAGGCTGAAGTCCCCTCTTACAACCACTCTTCTCAATATACTTCGAACTCATCCCAAAGCTCAACACAAGGCATGGAGGACTAAGTTACAAATCTTTTTGTTAAGTCAGATGTTTCCAATTCTTCCTTCCCACAAGCTAGAGGACTCAACAAGTTGTCAACTGACACATAAAAAAGTCATTTTGGATGATAGATCACCCTGGTCTTGGCATATAATTCAGAAGGAATTCAAAGAATTCCTATTTTAGCAAAACTCTTTCCATTCCCATTTACTTATTTATGTGAACAAGGTTCCTCACCATGAAAACAAAACACAGGAACAGAGCTGGTACTAAACTCTGTCTTGTTACAGCAATAAACAATATTCACTGATGGCCACATGATCTAATTATACAAATCTAAAAGGAGCATTTCCAATAAAATTTACTTTAGATGAAACAATTTTGTATCAACATTTTAATATATTTATGTTGTTTGGGGCAACTGTGAACTAATTATAAAGATAATTTTCTTATGGATTAATGCATATAGACTCAGGGCCACAGGAAAAAAATTTATATACATATTTTCGTTGCAGAGAAGTGTAACAATGATCCATACAAAGACTTTCAACTATAAAAAAGTATTTTACACTAGAATGCAATTCTGTAGGGAAATACAATGGAAATACAAGATCAAGAAGAAAAACAGAACACTATAAGAATGATGTAAGAGTTATGACTTTAAAAAAAATGCCCTAGGTATTTTTAAAATGATTTTGTGTATCAAATTGCTATGACATTTAGATCTCATTTAGATACATTTTTAAATGATATGACAGTTTTATTTAAAATGTCAATATTTATAAATTGCTGGAAATTATACTTTGCAAGAATCTAAATGTATGAAGAAAATCTGTAGGTATTAATGTAGAAACATGCAAGAGATTTCATAGTTTTTTAAGTTTTCAAAGCCATATTTCCCACACTGGGCTTTGAGGCGCCCTGGGCCATTGTGATGAGCTCACAGAGGCACAACAAGGGATATTTTAACTTTCTGAAGAAAATACAGCAATACCTATTGGATATCTACTGTAAAGACGACTAACTCTAAACAGTTCATCATTTCAACATTAGATCACCCTACAATCCTTTAGATAACATATTTTTGCAAAGCTGGTTTTTCAGTGGTTGCTATGACAAAAGCAAGTACCATAAGAAAACTAATGTGTAACAGGAAATGAGGGTGTAAGTGTCCAATCTGATTCCAAGGTTTGAGAAGTTGTGTAGTGTCCAACAGGCACACATTCACTAGAAAGTATAGTTATTTAAGAATGAAATAAAAATATTTTCTCTTTCAATGTATTTTTCAAATAACTACAAAGTTGTTAAGATATTTATTAAACACTTTTTGAATTGTCTAGACCATTTAATTACTTAATAAAGCAAATTGTTAAGTATTTCTTTTGTCTAGGGCTAAAAAATTATCGAGACAACTAAGGTGCCATGAACTGGAGCTTTTGCTTTGAGAGTATGGAACAAAAACGTTTGATGATCACAAACCTTAGAAACTCCCCTTTAGTTATACTTGGGATTGCCAGCAGGTGGTGCCACCAAGATTGAGTTGGCTAGGGAAAAGGTCCTATTCCTTGTTCTCAAGGTCTAAAACACTCTAGAGTAAAGGAATGTTCTTGGACCAGAGAAGATATTATAAAAGAAAAAGGGACTTTTAGATCACTTACTCCAATACTTTTCAAACTTTTTAGAAAGGCAACAGAATCTCCTTTCAAGCAAAATCTTAAATAAAAGCAGAACCATTTCCTAAGTGGGCTAGAAGAGGCTGAAGCCCTACAATAGTGACCCTAAGCTCGGAAGAAGGTACCCTGAAAAACTCTGCAGCTCTAGGGAACACCTTAAGAAAATCACTCATCTAAATCTCTACTTCACAGAGTAAACCAAGGCTCATAAAGATCTGATATCACATGGGCAGTTAGTCACAGAGCTGGTTCTAGAATCTACGACTCTCAACAGATCTGAAAAGGTACCAAATCTTCCATTTCATCCTGCTGATCCTGAAGCCAGAAGGATAAGGGCTCTGCTCCTGTGAGACCTTTGGGCAAATCACTTCATATTGGGAATTTTGGTTTCCTTTTCTATAAAATGGAGAATTAATATTTATTTCACAGATTAAATAATAGGATGAGAAATACTCAGTAAACTATAAGAAGATATGGAATTATTTTATTCTGGTTAGGTCTGAATCAAAGAAACAAAGGCTAGAATAGCAGAAAGTAATGGGGAAAGGATAAAGATTTGGGAGAAAATAGGTTTGTGAGTATTGTGACCTAAAATTAAATGAACTTTTGATTTACTGTCAAGTACTTTCGACTAATCGTTTGGTCCTGGGGGGAGCAGGGCACAGACTTTCTGGTGACCTTCTAAGTGACATTCCTTATTAACCTCATCATTTCCCATTCTTGGCATCCCTCACCTTGCAAAGCCAACGCCTCTGCTGGTCCCACTGGTGTCTCGAAGGATTCTAGTGGAAATAACCTGGCCAAAGGGCTTCAGCATTCCCTCCAGTTCTTGCTCATCCATTGACAGCGGGAGGTTTGAGATGTATAAATTTGTGGGGTCCTGCTCCTGTTGCTATGGAAATGAAAGTGAAAAAATGAATTTCATATCCCTTAACCCTCTCCCACCCTCAGTGGGCAGCCACAAAATGACATCTCAGAAAAGAGAGAGCAGGGAGGCATGCACATAAACAAAGAGGATCTTAACGATTTGTAACACCTGGTCCCACTATCATGGGTCATGGGTTATAAACTGAGTCCGGGCCAAAAAACCCCACAGATTTAATATTTCTGGTACTGTACAGGCCCACAGTACAAGCCATCAATGAAGTTTTTGGCTGTCTCTTTAAGAACTAGGCAGAGCAGCGCTCTCCTCTCCTATCCAACAGCCCAACAGCCTGTCCCAGAGGCTGGATTCTCTTGGACTGCCTTTGCTTCCCGGGCTGCATTGTTCTGGGTAATCCCCCCACTCCGCTCTTCCAGCCACAGCAGACTCCTCTTAGTAGGAATGCCTGTACACTCCCTGATGGAGGGAAAGCAGGAGGAGAAGAGAAGGGAAAAGGGAAGCCAATGTGCTGGGGGTTGCACTAAGAGCCAGATGTATAGCTCACTGGGTCACCACGGAGCCCTGAAAGTTCTAGTCTCACAGGAAGTCTAAAGTCACTCTAATGTCAGAGGGCTTTTCTCAAGAAGAGGTGGGAGAGGGCCTCCCTGGTGGCGCAGTGGTTAAGAATCCGCCTGCCAACGCAGAGGACACAGGTTCGAGCCCTGGTCAGGGAAGATCCCACATGCCACAGAGCAACGAAGCCCGTGCGCCACAACTACTGAACCTGTGCTCTAGGGCCCGGAAGCCACAACTACTGAAGCCCGCGCGCCTAGAGCCCATGCTCCTCAACAAGAGAAGCCACTGAAATGAGTAGCTCATGCACCGCAACAAACAGTAGCCCCCGCTCAACACAACTAGAGAAAGCCCACGAAGCAACGAAGACCCAATGCAGCCATAACTAAATAACTATCTAAATAAATTAAAAAGCACTGCAGATAGCCCTTGCCCATCAACCGCATGGCTCTTAAACCTCTGGAAGCCTTTGGTGCTAACTACAACCCCTCAGAGGAATAGACATGGGGTAGCACCCTTACCTTTGCCATCTGTGCTTGCACACCACTGGCTTTCAGTGCTGTTACAGCTTTCTGTGCTGCTGAAGGACTGTCAAAGTCCACAAAGCCATAGCCTGGAACAGGGAAACAGCATCACTGGGAGGTGGGGGGTGTGAGGGAGGTAGGAGGCCCAGGCTTTTCAGGAAACAGAGGAGGAGTTACGATCCACGCAATAGAAGTGGTAGGGAGGAAGAGAAATGAAGAGGTTTCAGGTGGTTATCCACGTGCTCCTCAAACCCTGTGAGATTTGGTCTACTTTATAGCTAAGAATGCCAAGGGCAATGAGGTCTTTATGGTATCCTTGCCTTCCTCCCTCTCCCCTAAGAAATCCCAGGTTTCAAGAATTAGGCTCCTCTAATAATTCACAGCCCCCTCTATTTCCAAAAGAACCCCCTTCTCTTTTCTAGGCACACCTGCAGAAATGCTAGGCATGTAGGAAATACAGCCTCTCCACAGCAGATAATCAGCCACCTGCTGGAAGAAGCCCCTCCTCACCCCAATGTACAGCCCTTTCCCCTCCTTCCACTCTTCCATCCCCACCTAGAATTGCTCAAAACCCCAACAAACCCAACCCACCTCCACAAACAAAAGGCATTTACAATGCTTTGCTAAGTAGAAATAAACTCACCCATGAATGAATATCTACCATCCAATCCAGGGAAACATGACAGCCAAAGTAGGCCCAGGGGACTCAAAGGCACTCTGTGCAGGCTTCTAGCCTTGAGTCCCCAAAACAGCATTTTCAGCTCTAGCTATCTGGTCACAAAGAATCTAAATACCTACTAGTCTTTTAAGCCTGAAAACCCTGAAGACTCCTCCCTGGCACTGGAAACCAGGGACTTGCAGCAATAACGGGCAAAGGCAAGGGATGGCCTCACTTACAGCTGTTCTCCACCACCAAGAGCAGCTGTTCTCTTACCTTTGCATTTGTTTGTGGTCTTGTCCAGTATGGCCTTAGTGGAGACAATCTTGCCATATCTAAGGGAGAAGAAAATGCAAAGTGATAATCTGGGGACAGGGATTTAGACTAGGACAGAGATTGAGACATCTAGATGAATCCATGCCCTGTCTTCACTCCCACTAGGAAAACTGTCCCTACTCAAACCTTAGAACAAAGAAGAAATGAATTTAAAACGTCACACTTATCATATAAACCTATTCCCCAAAGGTACCTACAAGAAATAAGGTAACTGCAGTCCCTACACTATCAACACATTTCTCTCTTCTTCCCCAAATAAGACTCAGATACTAGTTAGAAAAAGACTACTGTCTTTTTTTGGGAAAGAAGCTTGGTGGTGTCCACATAGCAGTGTGTAAGGCCAGAGCTCTGGCTAGAATTCCTTGAGGACTAAAAATAATCCTTGATGTTATTTATCTTCCTTTGAAGAAACACCATTCCTCCCATGAAAAACTGTTTCTCTTCTCTGACACCCCACTCTTCACCCTTCTACTGGCCCCCTGAGTGAAGGTCAACTTGAGCCAAACTGCTTTTGTTCAAATCCTGGTTCTGCCACTTTATAGCTATGTGTGATCTTGGACAAGTCATTTAACCTTTCTGTGCCTCAGTCTCACCATCTGTAAAATGGAGATAGGATTGTTGGAAATATGAAATGAGTGCATGAATATAAAGTACTAATGTCTATCAAATGGTAAACACCTGAACACTCTTAACTGCTATTATTATTATTATATGTTATATTATATTATTATTATATTCATGGGACCTCAACATTTAATCAAATGGCTCTTTCCTGCTTTAATCTCTAAGACTTCTATTTCTTTTCTTTTTTTTTGGCTGCGCCTCACAGCTTATGAGATTTTAGTTCCCCAACCAGGGATCAAACCCAGGGCCCCAGCAGTGAAAGCGCCGAGTCCTGACCACTGGACTGCCAAGGAATTCCCTGATTTCTATTTCTTATTGTCAAGATTTCAGTGTATTAGGGAGGGGAGTGGGCATAAAAGCAAATGCAACAGCTGCGTTAAGAAAATTATCCAAAACTTGACGATAAGGCAAAATGAGGATTGCACATTCTTTCAATGTCATTCTGGAACACTGTCTACAAGGCCCATTCAAAGTATATTCTGTTATCTAAGGGGATGTTTCTTTGTTTCAGTTACTATTTATTACTGATGAGGGCCCAGATTTTGTGAAGATACATATTAATTTGTAGATTTTTATCTAGTAGAAATACAAATAATTTCTGTCCATTAGAAAAGATGATCCCAAAGGTTACTGTTTTATAGTCCTATAGGGTATGAACCAGTTTTCTCTGTAACCTCGTAATCTTATTCCAACATTCTTTCTTCAGTCCCTCAAATACCCTTTGAACCCATTTTACCATCCTGCTAGTTCCCTCACTAATGAGTAAAATAAATATTTGGCATGCGTTCATCTATACCTGCAGCAGAGTTATGCTTTTCAACTTTCTGAAAATTATACTTTGGCAGCAGATTCATGTGGAGTTCCCCAAACTTGAGCAGCGGAGTATCTATCACAGGTCAGGGATTATATTAGAAGTGTTCTACTATAAAGAAGTCTCTACATTCCACTCCAGGAGGGTGAAAATATTAGAGAGACAGAACAGAAATCACTAACAAAGTCAGAAGTATAAAATTTAACTGAAAACAGTTGGCAGGGACTGAATTTGAGACGAATACCTGAAACAAGCATTTTTTTCTACTTTTCCTCTCATCCCATTCCTAAAGAACATACGATGATTGATGTATTTGTTTCGCTCCTTGGCAGCCTCTCACTGACTGTTGTAGAGGAGCTCTGTGACCCACTGGATTAGACAGAATAAGCCAGGCGATGCCCTGGAGGCTAGAATGGATGTGGCGAACCTAACCCTTCAGGGCTACATACTTGGATTCTTTCCCAAATTTAGGAAAGGAAGGGATGCAAGAGACTGTAAGCCAGAGGACACACACACGCTGCTATCCCTATCGAGGCCCCAGGGTGGAGCTTGCTGTGGTCTGAGCAGCCTGAGACTTTGAGTCAGAATTTCCACTTCAGCTGGCAACAGCTGGATCATGCAGCTTCCTCCTCTGAAGGAGTCCCTCCAAGAGAACCAGGAGTTCCAGTTCCAGACTCCACGCCTCTCCTTCCTGCCCACCAGGGCCTAGGATCCAGCAACATTTACTTCCTGTACAACCTAGAGAGATAACTGGGACAAAGGCAGGAAGTCCTATGCATGGGAAACACCCTTCACAGAAAGGTGTCCCTCCCAGCTCACACACCCATGAGGATTCCACCCACCAGTTCTTCACAGCTTCCCTTTCATCATAACTCATGTAGCACCTATTCTTTCCCTTCCTCATTCCTACTTCTCTATGGTCCCCTACTGGGCTCCTTACTTCCATCTTATTGTACATGCTGACCCTGACTGTTCTCATCCCTTCAGACATAGCAGAAGGTAAGGCAACTATTGGGAAGGGCAAAATGAAAGTCTAAAAGTATAGTGAAGTAGAATTGAGTTTTTTCTCTGTCTTGTGGAGTGAGAGGATTGATTTTTGCAGCACATTATATTTGGTACAAGAAATACACAGTGGGGCTTCCCTGGTGGCGCAGTGGTTGAGAGTCCGCCTGCCGATGCAGGGCATGCAGGTTCGTGCCCCAGTCCGGGAAGATCCCACATGCCGCGGAGCGGCTGGGCCCGTGAGCCATGCCGCTGAGCCTGTGCGTCCGGAGCCTGTGCTCCGCAACGGGAGAGGCCACAACAGTGAGAGGCCTGCGTACCGCAAAAAAAATAAAAAAAGAAATACAGGGTGCAGAAATCAAGGAACTAGATTGATATGATACTCTTTTTCCTCATAAACCAACATTTTTGCCAATTCCCATTCCCTCAAAAAAATTACTAGTCCTAGACTAAGTTCCCTAAGTTCCATTTAAATAGCCTTCTAAAGCAAGGTAAGCCGAGGTTAACAGATTGTTTTATACACACATCTAGCCTTTAGAGACTGATTTTGTGCAGCCTGGTGCTAGCAAACTTCCAAAAGCCACTACCTCAGTAGAGTAAGGGATTTATAGAGTACCTCTGATGCCGCATACAAACATTTTGAGGGGAGAATGTTCTGCCTCTTCAGGATTTGGAACAGCTGCCACATACTCATACTGTTATGGGAGTTTGAGTTACTTTGACCACTTTAGAAAATTGTTTACTAGTATCTACAAAAGCTGAACAAATGTATATCCTATGATTTAGCAATTTTACTCCTAGGTATATACCCAACATAAATGTATATACTTATACACATGCACCAAAAGACATGTACAAGTTCATAGCAGCACTGTCCGTATCCATACTAGTCACATACTGGGAACAACTCAAATGTCCAGCAACAGCAGAACAAGTAAATAAGTTGTGGTTTATTCCTATGATGGAATTCTATAAAGCAATAAGAATGAACACATTTTTGCTATATGCAACAATGTGGATGAATCTCACAAACAACATTGAACAAAAGAAACCAGACATAAAACGGTGTGTGCTATATCATTATATTTATATGAGGTTCAAACAAGCCACATCAATCGTTTAGAAGCCAAACAGTAGATACCTTTGGGGGTGGGGGAGAGACTGTCACTGGGAGGTGGGCTTCTGAAGAGCTGGTAGTGTTCTAGTCCTTGATCTGGTTACCAGGGACTGTTACAAGGATGTGTTCGCCTTGTGAAAATTCACTGTTCTATAAACACTTCTGATTTGTGCACTTTTCTGTATGCTTGTTATGCTTCAATAGTTTTAAAAGATGGTAAATTTACACAGACTAAGGTTCCTATCTTTATTTCTTTCTAAACCCGATTTCCCCTTCCCCATTAATATTACCATCCCACCAGACTTCTGCCTCTAATCAGTCCCCCATATAAATGATTTGAAACACATATATTTCTGCCAAATGGAATTGAGCTGGCCTCTCTGCATTCTTGCAATTTTTCCAGCTTTCCTAATTGGGCTAATTCCATGGTAGTTGTCTCCACCCTCATGACTCAAATCTATGCTGAAGAAACCCCAAAGATCTTTAGGGGGTAGATGCCAAGTGACAACTCTTTCTCCATTTTCTTCTTTATCCACTAATTTGAGGGCTCCTCTGGGTCACTGAGAATAACTCTAGCAGCAGTAACTCTCCTAAGTGTATAATTCGATTGGCTAGTCCCACTTTCTTCTATCCCTACTGCTGGTTTTCACTATCTACTAATCAGTATCTTTAGAGATACTGAGCATTTCTATTCAAGGTGTAAGGATAGGAATTATTTCCACTAAGACCATCAGTTCTGGGTACATGCTGGAAACAAAGTCATGTACTAACTAGGCTTCAAAGGTCAGCCCTATCCAGCTTTCCTCAGAGAAACACATAAAAGTTTTATATATTGGTAGTAGGTAGAATTCCTCTAAGAGGGGCTGCTGAGAAACCTTGCAACTATAGGGGTAGAAGCAAAATATTGATAATATTGCATTTCAGGATAAGAGTATCTGGTAAGAAGCCAGTATCACCAAATCTGTACTGTCCCTGGAGACCTACCCCTATGTACCCCAACTTACGACTGACACAACTTGACTAGGTCCTGGTCTGTAGTGCTTGGCTGCAATCCCCGGATGTAGAGGTTGGTTTTACTCAGCTGGTCATTTACAGTGCTCCCACTGCTGCTGTTAGGGGTACTGTTGCTTGGACTAGGTGGTGCCATTGGCTGAGACAATGACACATATGGCTGCAGGGAGACATGAAGAACAGAAGGTCAGAAGAATTATACATTTAGATGCTGAAGAGTGAGGAAGATCTTGGCCCCTTGGAAAGAATGATTCCAAACTTTAACAGCAATGAAGTCATCAAAAGAGTTAAAAGGGCTTCCCTGGTGGCACAGTTGTTAAGAATCCGCCTGCCAATGCAGGAGACACAGGTTCGAGCCCTGGTCTGGGAAGATCCCACATGCTGCGGAGCAACTAAGCCTGTGCGCCACAACTACTGAGCCTGCGCTGTACAGCCCGTGAGCCACAACTACTGAGCCTGCATGCCACAACTAATGAAGCCCATGTGCCTAGAGCCCGTGCTCTGCAACAAGCGAAGCCACCACAATGAGAAGCCTGTGCACTGCAACAAAGAGTAGCCCCCGCTCGCCGCAACTAGAGGAAAGCCCTCACGCAGCAACAAAGACCCAATGCAGCCCTTAATTAATTAATTTTTTAAAAAGAGCGTTAAAAAAGAAGCCTAAAGGAATTCCTCTCTGCCATAAAATAAGAAAATATTTAACTGTCCTACCTAACTTTCAGGGGAAATGAGAGGCCAAAATAAGCTTGATAAAGGTTTTGAAAAAAGGTACTTAGTTATAGAGGAACGTTTTTATCATACAGATGCTGGAGACACAATTAATGTATGCCTCTTAAGTAAACTGTGTAATGAGACAAGACTAATAAAATCTAGGTTCCATTCAAAAATCACAGAGGAACTAATAAAAATTTATTAAATGATGAAGGTATAGAAAAGTTGAACATAGATTATTCATAAAACTGTAGAATATGAGACTGCAAAATACCTGCAGGAGCTTGAAAATTATTATAAGATTAGACAAACAAAATGAAATACTAATTACCATGCCAGGTAGTAAAAAATGAAATTTGTTACTATGCTGATAGGGGTTTAGTCATAAGCTATTTACAAGTTTTTAAAAGTTTAAATATGAATGAATAATAGATAAAGTATGGTTAAGGAAATCCAGCATTGGGGTGAAACATCTGTAATTTTTCACTACTGATACCAGGACAGGCAACCAGACTCTGCTACATTTTGGAGCCCCTTCTGTAGGGGGGTACTTCTGTTAGAGAAAAATTACCAGGTTGACTGGAACATGGATCCATTTCTTTCATGGCATATTTTATACCCTTATGCTCTAATCAGGCTTCTAGTGTATATACATATATATGGTTCATAATCCTCTAAATTTGCATAATTACCTATAATATAGTGCATTTTACTATATCATACTCATATTCCAGTTCTCCCTTGTCTTAAAGCACTGTATAGTATAAATCTGTTTGGAATTACTTCCCTATAAAATACTAGCTGCATCTCCAGGTTTTCCCCCTCTCTCTCTTCTCTGGTAGTAGTGGTAAGGGATTAGAGTGGTAACAGAAGAAAAAGGGAAACATGAATATCAAAGAGGGGAAATCTTCCCCCCAAAGAATCTTAATGTGAAATGTGCCTCTTACATTTCACGCCTCTGACCTTTAGCAAACTTTAAAATAAAAATATTTGCTCAAGCTAAATATGTTGAAGCAAGTATTTACCTATTTTTGTCACTATACATAATCACAAATGTGTACCCACTTGCAAATACATAGTTCATTCCTCAGCTCTATACTGCAGCAAAGAAGAAACCCAATACCACATTCTGGAATGGCCCAAAGCCTCATGACCATTGTAGCTCTTGATACACCCTTTATATTTCCTATCCTTGTCCCCCTCTCTTTGCCAGCACTTACACTAGGATTTTCCATATAGAACAATCCATGTGCCAGAAGAATATGTATTATTCCTCTGTGGTGGTAGTGATAGTCGACAAGTGCAGGGTAGGGCACATGCACGTTTTTCAGCAACTTTCAGACAACAAGACAAAAACAGGCAAATAAACCTAAAAGTCATACATCCAGTGCTAGAAATGGCAGTACATACTTTAAGAATGATGTTGAAATCTCCACTGAATTAGTAGACATGTAATAATAATCAAATACTAGTGGTCTAGGCCCCCTCCATTATCACTACTGTTTTAAGTGCACCATCTGATTTAAAGTAGAGGCAAGAAGGGACTTCCCTTGTGGTCCAGTGGCTAAGACTCTATGCTCCCAATGCAGGGGGCCCGGGTTCAATCCCCAGTCAGGGAACTAGATCCCACATCCCGAAACTAAGAGTTCACACGTCACAACTAAAGATCCCGCAGGCAGCAACAAAGATCCCACATGCCACAACTAAGACTGGGCGCAGCCGAATAAATAAATAAATATTTTTAAAAAATAATAATAAAGTAGAGGCCAAGAAGATTATCAACTATATTCTAATCATGGCTGTTCCTGAGTTCAGAATAAGATCACTGCTGGAGATCATTCACTAAGATATGCCTTTCCTCATCTCTAAGGAATTGCCATTATTGATCCTTAGCTGAGAAAGCCAAGCTTCTTCTAATACGAGAGTCTAGGGAATTCCCTGGTGGTCCAGTGGTTAGGACTCGGCGTTTCCACTGCTGGGGCCTGGGTTCAGTCCCTGGTTTTGGGAACTAAGATACTGCGAGCCGTGTGGTGTGCCACACCCCCACCCCGCCCCTAAATAAATAAATAAGAGATTCTAGGCCTGTGGGGTGATGATGATGCCAACAATGACAGCAGAAGCAACTCTAGCAGCATCATATCATGTGCCAAGCACCGGCAGATGAGGTCACCTGCCTCAGCTAGAGTTCATCTACCCCCTTTCCCAATGTGAGAGAATATTCCTAAGAGGAAGTTATCAATGATGCTACGACTGTCCAAATAAGAACACAAGGGTTACTGAGGAAAGAAATAAATTGAAAAGAAGCTTTTGGTTTACTACCATGGTTATAACCTTGGTTTTAACACTAATGTCTTAGTTATAATCTAAAAATATGTCTTAGTCAATGATAAACTTGCTGCAAGGCCAGAAAAATTCCTAGAAAAAAAGATGTAGTTCAGAAAATAAAAACCCAGAACTTTTCTCTTTTGCTATTCCCAAACAGCTCTTGAAACTACTACATAGTCTCCAAAGAGAAAAAATAGAAAAATATTCTCTTTTCAAGAGAATTCAATAAAAAAGGTCAAGAAAGCCTCTAAGTAAAGCTTATCTAGCTTCCCGAAAGAAACTATTTGGAGAGACAATAATAACTAATGTAAACTAATGATCCTTGTTTACCTATGTACATAAAAGAGAACAGGGCAGTATATATGAGAGTCCAGAGGACTGAGATATTCTTACTGGGCGAGAGAAGGGTGGGGCAGTATTGTCTCTCTTGACTCCTGTTGGTCTGTAATGGTTCTCTGAGGCCACTGGTTCTCTGTCCGAGCCTAAGCTAAAAAATGAAGAGCAAGATTTGAACTGTTTAAAACAAGGCCCTCATATTTGTCCTAGAATCTTAAGACACCTGGGATGGTATTAGATTTGCCTTTAGAAATAAAGGATGGTAGCATATTATCACGTAGCAAAGAAATATGTAAAGTTATCCAGTAGAAAAGGTAGGTATGAGTCTTCTTTTTTACAAAATATTTATTTATTTATTTGGCTGCGTCGGGTCTTAGCTGCAGCATGTGGGCTCTTCCTTGCGGCGCTCGGACTTCTCTAATAGTGGCGCATGGGCTTCTCTCTAGTTCTGGTGGGCGGGTTCCAGAGCTCGAGGGCTCTGTAGTTGCAGCATGGGGGCTTAGCTGCCCCGCGGCATGTGTGATCTTAGCTCCCTGACTGGGATCAAACCCGCGTCCCCTGCATTGCAAGGTGGATTCTTAACCACTGGACCACTAGGGAAGTCCCTATGTATGAGTCTTCTCATGAAGGAGATTTAATTCTGACTGGGAAACATTAACAGGTTTATAAGCTGAGAAATGACATGATAACATATGTTTGAGAAAGCTAACACTAGGTGCATTATCCCAGCTGGTTCGGAGGGGTAGAAGACCAGAGGTGGTAAGACTAGTTAGGAGATATTAGACATGAAGGGAGGTCAGGAAAAAGTATAGAAGTTAAATTCAGACTGGCAGAATTTGAAGTTATCTGCTTGATGGATATATGCTGAATGCTTTTAGAATAAATACTGGTTAATTTATTCAGTTAGTAAACATTTAAATACCTTTAAAATACTATGCAAGGCGTGAAAAGCCTGGTAGTTAGCATGGAAGAGCCTGGAAGTTTGATTTCTTAGCTAAAAGTTAACGCACCACCTTAGAAATATAGGCTTATAAAGGAGGTATTAATGCTTTTAGAAAGTTCTAGTATTGCACTACTTCTTTGGGAAGTGGAGTAAACTCAGTTATGATAGCTAAAGGTGGGAAGCAATCTCAGGGCGAGGACTTTTTGGCTTTGGATCTTCCAGTGAAACCCAGATGCCTATGGGCAATTCGTTACCAAGGCAGAACAGGGAACACTGGATTGCAAAGACGAATTGATTGAATGCAAATGCTAGGGAACACCAAATTTGAGGTTGGTTGGAGACTAGAATCTATCAATAAAAGGTGTGTGAGAACACTAGCAGGGGGAGGACTTGGCTGTTTCCTAGAAGGGCCACTCCCCTTGCATAGTAAACAGCCATACATAAAAGCTGAAAGAAGGCAAAGAAAGGTAGGACAAATGAGTTAATGGATATAAAGTACTTAACATGGTGTTTGGCATACAGCAAGTATAAACTGTCAGTAACCGTTATTATTTTAAAATTTGGAGTCTTTTAAAAAATGGAGTTCTTCTATAATTAAAGGACAAAATTCTCCTTCCTTTGCAGAATATGGATAACTCACCCAAGTTGAGCTGTTATTTGTCTGCAGAGACTTGATGCTTCCCCAGCAGTTCTTTTTTTTTTTTTTAATTTTTATTTATTTATTTATTTAGGCTGCATTGGGTCTTCGTTGCTGCGCGTGGGCTTTCTCTAGTTGCAGCGAGCGGGGGCTACTCTTCATTGCGGTGTGGGCTTCTCATTGCGGTGGCTTCTCTTGTTGCAGAGCATGG